TTCAAAAAGTTATTTAACATGTTTTGATTGTTCAAGGACTTATTTGTTCCAAAAATTGTCCAAGGACTTATTTAACATTTTTTGAAATGTTCAAGGACTTATTTGTTCCAAAAATTGTCCAAGGACTTATTTAACATTTTTTGGAATGTCCAATGACTTATTTGTTCCAAAAATTTTCCAAGGATTTATTTAACATATTTTGGAATGTTCAATGACTTATTTAACATGTTTTGGAAAGTCCATAGACTTATTTGTTCCAAAAAAAAGTTCAAGGACTTAATCATTCCAAACAAGAAAGTTCATTGGTTTTTATTATACTTTTCCCATTAATTAACTATTTTCCAAAAAAGTTTCTAATTTTTTTTTTCCTAATTATATGTGATTTAAAGCGTGAAAAACAATGATTCAAATTAAACATTGAAAAAAAAGTAATGTAAACAAAATTACATATCATGTGTAGTAAAACACATTTAACATGTGATTCAAAACGTAATTCATAATTTATTAATATCATATGTGATTTTTGATGAAAATTGTAAAAAATAATCTTAAATGAAGAACTACGTCACGTTTATTTTAAATGTCATAAAATATATAAAAAATAAATAAATGTATAATTAATCATGATCAAATTACGAACATTGTGAAAATTGTAAAAAATTAATCATGATTAAATAAATACCTTAAATAAGTGTATTAAAATAACTCATATAGAAATAAATGAATTTTCATATATAATCCATATACATTTATTGAAACATATGCTTTATGGTGATTTTCAATTAAGACATGATCTAAATAGCTCAGATTTATTTTCTAATGTAGATCGCATTTTCGTTATAAATCCCCTTTCTATATAGATAAATTTATAATAATTATTAATGAAGAAATAAACTGATAATTTCGGACGCAAGTATTGTACGTTATAAAAATAGATAACGTCGTGAATTTTTATAGGTTGGAAAAGGTATGTATTGAGTTCTGAAACCATACATAAAGTAACATCAAAACCTGTATTTTCAACTTCTTATGTATCTGTTTTCTATTTTACAAAGAATCATCTCGAGGTTTTTTCAGTCAAGATAAATCATGGTGGGTTTTTTGCATTCTTTCGTGGTAGGGTGTATGTTAAAGGTAAATTATGTTGATTTAATAGATTGTGATTAGATGTAGGGACATTCAAATTTTTTGGAGGTCTTGCTACATTCAAAACTTTTGATTACATTGCATAAATGAGATAACAGAGAATATATGTTAAGAATAAAAATGGGTTAAACCTGAAACATTAACAATCTAAAACTATACATAAACCATTAATGATTTGAACCTAAACCAAACAATTAATGGTTTGAGCTTAAATAATTTTGGCTATAGTTTTAAATAATTTTGGCTATAATTTTGAGGGCAACATTTTTCTACTGTTTTGTTACTGTTTGACAACTTTTTTCTATTGTTTTGCTTTTGTTGTTCTACTATTTTGCTACTGTTTGCCAGCAAAGATAAGTTGTTTCTGTTGTTGTTTTGACAGCAACGTTTTTCTGACTTCAACGTCGATTTAGTCTGAGATATAATTGGAGTTTGCGAAAACTTAAAACATCAGAAGTGTAGATCTGCCTGTTGGCTATCCAAAATGTCTTGAACCACCTTCATTGGTGCTTGGACAACTCGTCTGTTGATATTTTCTATTTTTTTAAATATTTTTTTTATAGAAGTTAATTTTTCCATGTTTCTTGATAGGGGTGCTCATTGGTTTAATATTGAATTAGACAAAGTTTGTATAAACATAAACCAGATCATGATATATTGGTTAAATGCTTAGTTTGGTATCGATTTTAAACGGATTCGACTTTAAATCTGAAATATACAAGAAATTCATTTAATGCATCAAAAGTCGGTGCATATCAAGTTTTGCCCAAAAGGATTTTATAAAGGTTTTATATTTAAGATGTGTTAATAGTGTATCACGAAGTTTTGTTCCTTGGCATCTTTAGTTGTATAACTGATTATAATTGAATCTCGTATCTGCTTGGCTTCCTTATACAAGCAATAGACATTGAAAAGCTCATCAAACAAAGTACTAGTAAGAGTATATCTACGTGCCTTGTTAGCGCATATCTAAGTTTGTGACGATCTATCATCTACTGTTGACGTCGCCGTAGGGGTCCATGAGAACTAAAACAACTGTGCATATCAAGAAAGAACAAGGCTCGTTCCTACAAATATTTGGAGTTTTTACCTTTTAATGATGTTTCATGTAAGATCATATGAACAGAGCATACCCTTTTGTGTTTATTACGTAAGACTACAAAAATCATCATATTAATGTTTGCTGAATGATGTAATCTTAACACCTGCCAAATAATCACCGTCATTAATGATCGATACATGTAAAGAGATTTAAATCAAAACCTAATGATATAAATCACTATAAATACGGGTACATAAGATGTCTTTTTAGTCATAGATACGTGTTCTTTATGATAAGACGAATTTGTGATTCTTAACTCAGTGCAAACGAGTTGGGTTTTGAGTTGATTTTAGTTTACTACATATATGTTTGGAAAGAGAAAAAAAATGTCAGTTTTTATATAATTGATATTTATTAAACAATGATATAATATGAAAACTACTTAAAATTCAAAACATGGTACTTAAATTAAATATTTGGTATTTATTTATAAATAAAAATAATTATTGGTGTATAAATACACGACACCAAAAAAAGGAGGTCTTATAAGACTTATAATTGTGGACTTTTATATGAGTTCTTAATTTAATGAGTTGAAAGTGATATGACAACAAGAAATACAAAAATGATGTTTTTATAAAAAAAACTTGTGTTGAAGATGCTCTAACAATCGTTAAATTTATCTTCAAATCTATTATTATGTGTTTCGTTTCAAAAAGTTCCATGTTTGATTTGCTGCGTAACTCAATAAAAGATCTTGATTGATAATCACCATATTATTGATTGGTTTGAGTTTGGGCTCCAAAGATCAAAAGTGTTTGGAGGTCTCGTTTAAATTCAATGAGAAATAAAAATCCTCTTCTGACCATAGAGGTTCAAATGCGGTGATTTCAGACTACCCACAAAGCAGTGGTTGCCTTAGGATGAGTCGGTTCGTATATCAGGTTGGATATTCAGATTAAAAAAAATTGATTTTCTTAAATAAAACAAAATTTCTAAAAATAGTGATTACGTCAATGGCTATAAAAAAATCTTGGGCGTATCTGGTTAGTTCCCGAACCTTCCACATGCTTCGCGACCTACCAGACAATTCCATCTTCTTTTCCCAATTCTCAGACAAACTCTAGACGTATATAACATACTCACTTCTCTTTCTCTCTGCTGTGAGAGATTCTTGAGAGTAGTAATCAATTGTTTATAACAGTTATGGGTGTGGATTATTACAAGATTCTGCAAGTTGACAAGAATGCTAAAGATGAAGATTTAAAGAAGGCTTACAGGAAGCTCGCAATGAAGTGGCATCCTGATAAGAACCCTAATAACAAGAAGGATGCAGAAGCCAAATTTAAGCAGATATCTGAAGCCTATGATGTACGTGTATATATATATATCTCCATTTCTTGATATCTCTATGATGTGTTTAGCGTTTTTTTATGCGAATTTTGATTGGGTGTTTGTCAATTTTATGTAGATTAATTCAGAATCTTCCGTAGAAAACGTCTAAACTACGGTATAAGTTCATGTTCTGATTTGGATTGGAGTTTTATTCAATTCGATTTGCTTCTTGTTTTCGGATTTTGATTGGATTTCTGTTTGATGAAATTGATTTTTCCTTTCTGTGCCTCTGTGTTTTCATGTTCTGTTTGGCTCACTGATTGATTGAATTTTGAATTTTGGAACTGGATGAGAAATCGTGATATCAGATCAGGGAGCCTTCGATCTTGAAAGTTTTTATGCAACTGAAAACGTTTTCATCTGTTTTCTTGTTCAATTCATCTTCAGGTTTTGAGTGATCCCCAGAAGAGAGCAGTATATGATCAATATGGTGAAGAAGGACTCAAGGGTCAGATGCCACCACCTGATGCCGCCGCTGGTCCTGGCGGAGCCACCTACTTCTCCACCGGCGGAGGCACACCGTTCTCCTTCAACCCCAGAAACGCCGATGATATCTTCGCTGAGTTTTTTGGGTTCAGGGGAATGGGAAGTGGTGGAGATGGTGGTGGCGTGAGAGGAACAAGATTCTCCAGCAATATGTTTGGTGACAATATGGGAGGATTCGATAACATTTTCAGCTCTTTTGGCAGCGGAGGCGGTGGTGGAGCTTTTGGCAACGGCGGCGGAGTTGGATCAGGCACCCGGAAAGATTCTCCTATAGAGAGGAGTCTTCCATGTACCCTTGAAGAGCTCTACAAAGGTACTACAAAGAAGATGAAGATCTCAAGAGACATTGCAGACATTAGTGGGTAAGTTGCCTTCTTTTGTTTTTGGTATTTGTATCTGAACCAACTTAACGACTGTTTGGTGGGTTTGTCATTAAGTCCTGTTTGGTGGGTTTGTCATTAATTCCTGCTTGGTGGGTTTGTCATTAAGTCCTATATGGATTAATCTCTAGGCATAGATAGAAGCTTATTTAATTCCATTTAAGTCATTAAGCAAAGGCATGACTCATTAAGCTTAATAAACTGCTAACAAACACACTTTACACACCCCACTTAATTCCATAGGCTCAATCCCAATGCCAATGACACTTAGGGAGTGTGTAGTTATTCTTCAGGATTGTTAATAATTTTGGTTATAAATCATGTTTTTGTTTGTTGGTTTTCTTGGCGTGCAGCAAGACAATGACAGTGGAGGAGATACTAAACATTAACATAAAACCTGGATGGAAAAAGGGCACCAAGATCACATTCCCAGAAAAAGGAAACGAGCAGCCAAACATGATCCCAGCGGATCTCGTGTTTGTGATCGATGAAAAACCGCACACCACTTTCACTCGTGACGGAAACGACTTGGTTCTAACACGACGGATAAGTTTGGCCGAAGCGTTGGCTGGTTGCACGGTCTATTTGACCACGCTGGATGGCAGGAACCTCACCATTCCAGTCAATAACGTGATCCATCCGGAATACGAGGAGGTGGTCCCTAGAGAAGGAATGCCGAATTCCAAAGACCCGACAAAGAGAGGGAACCTGAGGATTAAGTTCAATATCAAGTTTCCATCGAGATTAACTGCGACTCAGAAGAGCAAGATTAAAGAACTACTTAACGGTTAAGCTGGGAACGCCTTTGTGCATATTAAGTTGTTGTATCGGGTTTTTTTGGGTTTTACAGTGGATGATATAAGATACAATAATTGGAACCAAGAGGAAAGTTGTAGTTGCAATTGATTGTTTGAAGTAGAATGAGATTATGAATCTCTCCTGCAATGTAATCGACATTTTCTATCGATTTTTAAACATCATCCATTTTATGTTCAATTCATAACACACAAAAAAGACCAAGAAACTAGTGTAAATGAACACAAACAGTTCGTTCATTTAACTTAATCGAACGAACACAAAAGGTAAGCAAATGAAATTTTTTGTGTTCATGTTCGTTTGTTTAGAAACCAGGTGTGTTCGTGTTTGTTAACATGCTAAACGAACGTAAACGAACGAATTTAAACTAACAGACCTAAACAAATATAAACGAACGAATATCAGTACTTATCATTCAATTAACTATTGAACACCAATCATCAATATATATATTAAAGAAGGAATCATGAGTGTTTGAGGTGACTTTTCCTAAAGATCATAACCTCATTTTTTTTTCCTTCATTCTCTCAATATCAATTACTATATTTTATTTTCTCAATTTATGTCATTTTGTTAAATGTTTACATTCAATTCTAAACCATTCATCTTCTATATTAATCTAATGGCATAACTCCAAACCATTCATCTTTTCACATCAATCATTTATATATATATATATATATATATATACAACAACTATCTATTCATCTTCACCTATCACATCTTCTCAAATTCTATCTCTATCATATATCTCCAAATTTGTTTTTTTTCTCTTTGGTTCTTCTATTTTACTATTAATAATCTTTATAGTTTTTTTTTTTGTTTTTTCACTTTTCCCATAATTTTATGTATGTTTGTATCGTTATTTAGATTGTATTGTAGTTTTTATGCATTATGTTATGAAGATTTGAAGAAGTCTTCAAGTTCAATCTTTGATTTTTTTGGTTGCAATATAAGGTAATAATTTTATATTGATTTGTTTCATGATTTTGATTGCATTATAATTTTATTTATGTTTGTATCGTGATTTTATTTGCATTATAAGTTTTATGTATTAGGTGAAGATTTGAAGTGTTTCAAGTTCACTATGTAATTTTTACTTATGTTGAACGTTTTCTGGTTTGCAGGTTTTCAAGTTCTTTAACTTTTATGTATTAAGTCTTTGAAAATTTGAAGTTTTCAAGTTTGAGTTGTGGGAATTTATGATTATGATCTCAGGTAAGGTTTTTATGCAAGTTTATTTTGTAATTTAGAGTGTATTAGAATGCTATGTATGTTTGTATCATGATTTTGATTGGATTATATTTTTAAGTATGTTCTTATCGTAAGTTTAGTCGTATGATGATTTTATGTATGTTCATGTTGTGATTTTGATTGTATTATAATTTTATCTATTGGGGTATAAAGATTTGAAGTCTTTTAAGTTTGGTATTGATTTTTTACATATCGTATGGTTGGTTCATTAACTATTGTGTTTTTAAAGTCAAGGTGTGTGTTGAGGATGAAAAATGATACATGTACATCATCCCTTTTTGTGCTTATACATCGTAATCATCATTACACAAAACTAAGTATTTTGTCGTCAAAACTAATAATTTCCCTGACTATGATGAATTCAATTTAAATTTCAGTTGTTCGGTTTTTGGCCAACCATGATTAGGTATTGCTTACAACAATCGGTAAACTTATAATATAACGAATGTTATTGCTTATATATCTTGTATTGTATGATTTCTCAATATTAGAGGATATTATATTTCATCCAACAATTAATAAAATACTCTTATTTTATTTCTTATTATTTAACTGTATTATAAATGTAGTTATATCACTTCATATATTGTGGTTACACATCTAATTATTCAGATGACTATATGTACATGAATTTATTTAAAAAATCTAAAAAATAAATGTTACAAGCTAAATTGAAAAGATTTCTTTTGCATACACCTACTATAGTGCTCAATATTAATCATACAGTACTTGCATGTTGCAGCTAACAATTTTTATACAAATTGAACTTCAATGAAAAAAGTTTGCATCAAAAACACCTCAATGCAATCATCGTCTTATATTACAATTTATTATGAAATTACGTTTCATCTTAACTTGATTACGTATTTTCTAACAAAACAAGTTTCATCAATGTGCAACACACGGTGTGTGACGTAAGAATCAAATGGTTGTTCAATGAAAAGTTTTTTTTTTCATATTTATCTTTATTTTTATTTATTTATTTATAATATACAATCACCGTATTAATTGTTAAACTTTTCATTTTCCTACTTTTTTAACTTAATTTTATATATTTATTTGTAAATGAATTTGAATCCACAAATACATAAAACTACATATATTATATTTTATATCAATAAATGTATATTTTTAGTTATATGACAATTGAAAAAATAAAAATCATCAAAATCAATCAACATATATCGAAGTATATTAAAATTTCTCAATCAATCAATATATAATTAAAAATATATTAAATTAAGAACCAAAAGGTGGTTCAATGAGAAGTTTCAATCATATTTTTTTATTTTTTTATTTATAAATGAAATTAATGTACATACATTTATTTTATTTACATCAATGTATATAAATTTCTATGTACATGACAATTGAAAAAATAAATCATCAAAAATCAATCAATATATATCAAAATTTCTCAATATATAAATATACATTTAAAATATATTAAGATAAAACCAAGAGATGCTTTAATAAAAAAATTTCAATCATATTTATCTTTTTTAAATTAAATTAGAATCTTAATATATAAAATACATATATTTTTATTTATATTAATACATACATAGAGGAATGTTCTAACGAGAACGCTAACTATTTAAGAAAAGAAAAAAATGTCGTTAATGTACAAACTCACATGTGATTTTACATTAAATGGAAGCAGACGACTTTTGAGGCCACTTAAGTCGCAGGGTAAAGTCACCTTGATCATGTATGATTTGTTATGTGAATCATATATGATTTTGTACATTTTTAATAATGCAATTATATGATGAAATTAATTGAATAAATTTAAAGGTCTTCACTAATTTCTTAAGTTGCAACATGTGTTGGATCTCTCCATCTTGCATATAAAAGAAAGCCATGATTGTTGACATTAATTGCAACTGTCGATGTTCATAATTCTTGACATACAAGACGTCTACGCTTCTCTCTCCACTAAGTAATCGTTTTGCTTTATGAGATTAGTTATGCATAATATAAATATCTTTTCGGCTTTCTTTAATTTACTTGTTTTATATGTGTTAAAACAATATATTACAGGTTGATTTTTTAATGATATTCTTGCTAGTTATTCGTAGTTTAAACATATACAAAGCAATCACCATTCATCAACCATTATCACTTAAATAAAAAAAACAAATCACCATCATCATTTGGCAAAAGTGAAAAGGTAAATATTTTAAATAAGAGAAAATGATGATAAAATTTAAATTTAAATTTAAATTTAAATAAATTCTAAAAAGTTAAAACTTAAATAAATATTATTTGAATTCAAACTAAATAAATAAAAGATTGTATATTAAATCTATATTAGAAGGGTACTTGCGCAATGCAGCGAGATACATATTTATTTTAATATTTCATTTTATCTTTTATCTCATTCGATGTTATGATGTGGTCTTATGTGATTTTGAAAAAACGATGATATTGTTATTTTTGAATAAAATATAAATTTGAATATATCATAAAATTTTGATAAAAATATATATCGATATTATTATCAAATTAACTATTTAAAATTCCTATTTTTGTGTAATTTTTTAATTCAATTTTTTTTTATAATATAATTTAGATTCAATAACGAAGTAATTTATATTTGGTTTAATAATATAATTTTCTTATAAAAATAATAATTAATTATTTTGTTAGAACTCAATAATTATCATAATTATACTTTAGATTTTTTATATTTTAAAAATGAGATGTTTATCTTCTATTTGATTATGTTTATCTGTAGTTAGTTATATGAAATTAAACATGGTGCTTTAATAAGTTGTATTTATCTATAATTTACTTGTAATCTTGAATTTTAAGTAGTATGCATCAATATGCAGTACTTCATGCATAAAAAATGGGTTTTAAGAGTTTTTGTCAAATGCTTTATAATATATATATATATATATATATATATATATATAAAGGAGAAATCACTATGTATGACATGGCTTCTTCTAAATGCTAGAAGCTCTTTTTATCTTTTTTCTCCTATATATATATATATATATATATATATATATATATATTATAGGAGAAACCACTATGTATGACATGACTTCTTCTAAAGGCTAGAAGCTCTTTTATCTTTTTTCTCTTTTTTTTAGTTTTTAAAATACTAATTAAGTTAAAGACTTTTATACCCTTATATACAAATTGTGTGTTTTATAATAGATGAGATTTTTTGGTCATATTGCTTCCGACTTAAGTTTAACCTCCTAACTATTTAACTTCTTGATAAGAACTCCCCTTATTGTTTGTTGCAATTGATTTATTTTCTCCAACTCCTCATCTTCCATCTCTTTATTCTTTTATTTCTCAATATCTTTCTCTCCATTTAGTTTTGGCATAATTGCTATCAAACAACAATCGATTATGTTCTTGAAAACATTCATACACACCCAAGTTTAACTAGGACTATTTCATAGCGGAAGATTAGTAAGGTGAAATTTTACCGAGAATGGTAATGTTATATATACACATATGTTATATAGTGCTATGATCAAGTTGAGTTCCTAACCACAAGGGTGTTGCCTGATTGGTTTGAGCTTGACTCCAAATATCAAAAAGTACGAGGAGATCCCAAGTTCAAATCCAAGGAGGAATAAAAATCTCTTGTGGCCATAGAGGTTCAAATACGGTGACTCCGGGCTATTTGCAAAGCAGGTGGTCGCCTTAGGATTAGTCGGCTCACATAGCGGGTTGGATATCCATGTTAATAAAAAAATGAGTTCCTACTTGAAAACAAGTTTCAGGTTGCAATGAAATACCTTTATCCTTTTTTTTTAAGGGTGTCCGGGCCAAAGCCCGACTAATCCCTAGCAATTTTGGAGGCTAAACATGGCCTCACTTAAATGTCGTCAACACTCCCCTCCCAGTGCTCGAACTCGGGTTCATGACTATGCCATGCCCAAGCCTTTACCACTAGG